CTACATACGCGAGCTCTATGCTTTGCATATGGCTTTGGACCATTGGAAGCACTATCTTTTGGGACGCCACTTCAAAGTGTTATCAGATCATGAGACTCTGAAGTGGATCAAAGAGCAAACTACCCTGTCCCCTACCTTACTTCGATGGTTCCATGAAATTGACATTTTTGACTTTGAGTCAAGGCACAAAAAGGGTTGTTATAATCTAGTTGTTGATGCATTGTCTCGCCATCCTGAGTACATAACTTGCCTTGTGAATTCCTACGACCTCCGCAAGAAACTGAAGGAGGAGCTCGTAGAGCACACTGCCAAGCATCCGGACCTTAGCCCCTTGAGCAGCTGTGGGCTGGTCCCAGCAGTCAGCCTGATCTTCACGAGTATGGAGGACTGGTTTTCCGTCGCTACAGGAATCACGACTGCTTGTGTGTGCCCAACCATGAGCCTTTCTGCACACACTTTCTGGACTTGGCTCATGGCCGGAGTGGACACTTCAGCATGGCAAAGACATACGGAAACCTATTGAGACAGTTTGATTGGCCTGGTATGAAGGGATGTGCTGAAAAGTTTGTGGCTGAATGTCAAGTCTGTCAACGAATCACACCACGTAGACAAAAGTCAATGGGGCTACTTACACCCCTTCCCATTCCCGACGGTCTAGGGGAGTCTGTCTCTACCGACTTCACCGGTATGGGAAAGGTAAGTAAGAATGGCTACTCACAAGTCATGGTGATTGTTGACCGCTTCTCTAAATTTCTTAATCTGATTCCTTTGCGATCTCATGCTCCAACTGAATTGGTGATCCGTGAGTTCAAACAAAAGTACATTTTGCAGTTCGGAACCCCGAAAACTCTCGTGAATGATCGGGACCCGCGCTTCATCAATACTGAATGGAAAGACTTCACGTCCCAACTCCCTGACCTTGAGCTATGCATGACGTCTGACCGACACCCCGAAGCCAACGATTTGGCTGAGGAAATCAACCAGACTGTGTTCCAACTTCTCCGGGCTTTAATCATTCCGGATCAGGAAACATGGGATGAAGAGTTGTATTCCGTCAGGGGGTCGTACAACAACTCCATCCACTCTGCCACCGACATGACACCAAATAGGCTGCATTACGGTTGACAGATTCGTAATCCGCTCTCCTACCTATTATGTGGCGGACCCACCAGGTGGGTGTTCTGCCTTGGATAGAGATGGATATGGAGGAAGAAGGGGGAGCGAGATGGCACAGCGCAGCTCCCACGCTAGACTCCAACGCACGTACTCCAAAATGTGCCAATGTAGAATGATCTCACAAACAGACAACAACTAGGGTATACCCCAGCGGACTGACTTGACTGGACTGAACTGGCTGGTACCGACAGAGGTACCGGCCTGGACTGGACTACCCCGAATACAACACAGGCCTGTGAGAACAGGCCAAGGGGCTGGTCTCACAAGCCAACCAGAGGTCCGCTACACGATCCTCGGCCTGTGATGGATTGCCTAGATACAAGCACGCTTCCACCAAGAAGCGAAACTCTACCAAAGAAAAAGAAAACCTGAGTAGTCTATGATGCGGAGCAAGCTCCATGTTGAGTCCATGCGATGCAACCTAGGATAAAAAATGTCACAAAAAACAGCAATGTCACATCTAACAGCCTAAGTGAAAGCAGAAGCAGCTAACTAGCATAGAAGTCCTAGGAAAGCAGAAAGTAATGACAGTTAGATCCTACAATGTTGGAGGCAGTAACCTCAGTCTGGAAACAGTTGACTAGTGTATAAGTACTAAGAACAGCAAAAGGAGAACAACTAAATCCTAGAAATGTCAGAGGCAGTTGCCTCAGTCTGAGAGCAACAAAGCAACAACAAGACAACCATATGTGACAGGAGGAGTGTGTCGCAAACCCAAGGGTGGGATGGTCTCTGAGGGTGGCGAATGCAACCTATGGGTCGATAACTCCTAAGAGCATCCACACAAAATAACAGAGAGGCACATGTCATCAGGCTCAATGAGGGTAGGGAACTGGGAGCGAACAGAACCAATGACCTTAACAGATAGACCATCAGGGCGGGCAATGCTCGACCAAAGGGGTGACCGCTATGGAGGGTCGACCATGCAAGGGAACAAGGTAGCCTGGTATACTGGGCGCACCTAGATGAAGCATGCAAGGCTGCCTAACTAGGGCGTGAGGGCCGGCAGAGGGTAGAAAAAGTGATGGGTAAGGGACTCATGCAAATGACTCCTAAGGTGGGGGAAGTCGGAGCTGGATCCGTAAGCTGGGAAGCCAGGGCAACGCTACGGTCCCGATGCCTATCCATATACCAAGGGAGAGCCCAACTCAGAGGAACCCGGCGAAGGGAGACCATCATGCGACACAACCAGGGTACTGTACAAGGTAAGGTGGTAAGAGAGTGACGATGTCTGAAGTAGGCAGAGCTGATTGTGACGAAGTCCATAAAGCTGCCGATGACGTCCATGATGAGAAGTCCGGAATGCCATCGAGGAAGAGTCGCAACGTCGACGAGCTGAAGTGGCAAAACTGGAGTGGATGGAGTACTGAGAAGTCAAAGACGTGGGAAGATAAGTCAGAGTCAATCATCTAATCGAGCACGACGACGACGGGTGCGCTGTGGACGCTCAGAAGCATCCGGCTGCTGCTGAAGGTCTGCCTCAGATGGAGCAGGCTCGACTTCAGCGGTCTCCTAAGCCGAGGGAGGAGGGTCAGTGGGCTGAGGAAGAGCAGTCAACCCAGCATGACGAGCACGGTCATAGGCACGCACCAACATGTGAGCGTGCTGCAAGTGCTCGAGGGGCTCCCAAGTAGCCTCCTCATCAGGGTAATCCTTCCAGCGTACGAGATATTCGACATGGGGAGGGTTGTCGTCAGTGACTCGGTGACCAATGATGTCTGAAACGAGGAATTCCTCGTGGTCGTCCATCATGATGGGTGGAGGGCGCTCGTATGGTCGTCCAACGAAACGCTCAGACGGTCTGCGGTAGGGACGCAGTAAGGAGATGTGGTAGATATTGTGCACACGAGCCTGGCGTAGGTAGTCCGGCAGCTTCACACGAAAGCTGACCGGGCTAGAAGTCGTATCAGAACCGACGGCCTGGAGAATGCGGCATGGGCCAAAGAAGCGACGCCGAAACTTGCGAAGCGTGCCCGCTTCGAGATGTAAGTGGCTTGCGTCGATAAGCACATCATCACCGACTTTGAATGGATGATCCATCCTCGATTGGTTCGCACGTGCTGCCATGCGAGTCTGGGAAGTGGCTATGTGCTTATGCGCGGTCTTCATGATCGATGTCATGCGTGCAACCGAATCATCCAGCGTGGGACAACTCGTGTCGAGGTGCGTTTGTGACGGTTTAAGGAAGTGCGCGGGAACACGAGGGTGATAGCCGAGGTCGCAATAGTAAGGCGACGTCCTCGTGGCTGGCGAGACGGCGTGGTTGTAGGCTATCTCCGCGTGGGCAAGATGGAGATCCCACTGCTGGTCGTCACGAACAATCTTTCGGAGAATATCTCCGAGAGTCCTGTTCGTGACCTCAGTTTGACCATCAGTCTGGGGATGGTAAGACGAGGAGAAGCAGAGTTGGATGCCGTAAACCTCGTGGAGCCGTCGCCACAACCGGCTGGGAAAGCGCGGGTCACGGTCAGATATGATGCTCAAAGGTAAGTCGTGGTCACGCACGACTCGGTCAAACACGATGTCAGCGACCTCACGTGCACTGATGGCATAGCGGCACGAAACAAAGCGTGCACGCTTCGTGAAGTGGTCGACGGCGACCAAGATAGCATCATGACCGCGGGGGGTCGGAGGACGAAGAGGACCGATAAAGTCCATCGAGATGGACTGCCAACGACCTAGGAAGAGGTTGGAGCAAACCATGAGGCAGGTGGTTCGCACAGTTCACCTCCTGACAGGTGGGACACTCTGCGACGTAGTCCTTCACAAAGTCCTTGCGCTTCGGCCAGACGTAGAGGCGGCTCACACGAGCCAACGTCTTGTGGAAGCCCATATGACCGGCGACTGCCTGGTCATGGAACTCTGTTACTGCTCGGACACATAGCTGTCCAGTGGAGGGAACGCAAATACGGGGCTCTCTGGTGCCCTGTGAACCGTGCCAGTACACAAGACCGTTGTCCCCGAGAGAGTAGTTTGGGACGGTCTTGCCACTCCGAAGGGTCGCATGGATGTCGCGATAGTCGGGGCAATGGTGGTACTGAGTGCGAAACTCGTCGATCATCCAGTGGTGGATGGTGGCGATCGAGATGGCAGCGAGTTGGATCTGCTCCGGATCGTGGTAAGGGCGCCGAGATAAGGCCATTGCGACCCGATTAGTCTAACCCTTGATGTGCTCAGTGGTGAAACTAAACTCGGATAGGTCACGCCACCAGCGAGCCTGTCAAGGACTGAGCTTCGGTTTTGTCAGAAAAGCCTGGACAACAGAGTTGTCTGTGCGCACCGTGAATGGTGCCCCGTGCAGGTAGTGACGCCAGTGCCGAGCGGCATAAACTACTGCGAGAACCTCACATTCATCAGCGGTGTAGTTTATCTCGGTGGTCAGGAGCTGACGGGAGTAGAAGGCTATTGGACAATCACCTGAGGGATACTTGACAGTGCCGTCCTCGACGATGGTAATAGAATAGTCAATAGAAGGCTCGTCAGTAGTTGGACGAGTAAGCGTCAGGCGGGAAGCAGTGGTAGGGTTAGGGGGTGGGAAGCGAGGGATACGAGGATGAGAGGAATCAGGGGAGGAGGGGAAAATATGAGAAAGCACTACTCCTACAGCAAAGTCTAATGCATCGGTGGTAAGGATAAAAGGGCGATCAACATCGGGTAGGTGAAAAACCGGTGCACATGTCACTGCCTTCTTGAGGGCGCGGAAGGCGTCCTCATGGAGGGGTGTCCAAGCCCATGGCGGGTTCTTCCAGAGGAGGGTGGAGGTAAGGATGTAGGAATACCTAGCGTATCCCGGAATGAAATTACTATAGTAGCTAGTGAGGCCTAGAAAGCTATGGGTACGGGTCATTTTGCAATAGCAGTGATCTTCACGTCGTCCATGTGGAGACCCTGGTCAGACACGCAGTGTCCTCAGAAATTCACTTTGTGCTGGGCAAAGCGGCACTTGCTCAGCTTGGCGTAGAAGCCATGTCTACGCAAGCGGTTAAGGACATCGCGGAAGTGTCTAAGATGCTCCTCAAGAGTACGACTGTAGATGAGGATATCGTCGAGGTAGACGAGAACGTACTGCTCCAGGATGTCCCTGAACATGTCGTTCATCGCCCTCTGGAAGGTAACGGGTGCGTTGGTGAGGCCGAATGGCATCACCGTAAACTCGTAGTGGCCGAAGCGCATTCGGAACGCTGTCTTCGGCTGGTCCGCTGCAGCGACACAAATCTGATGGTAACCGTTACGAAGATCGATCTTCGTAAAGAAGCGGTTGCCTGCTAGGCAGTCGAACAGCTCGTCGGAACGAGGCATGGGGTAGTTGTTCTTAACCGTGTAGCGGTTGAGACCGCGATAGTCGATGTAGAGACGGAGAGTTCCATCCGCTTTGCAAGCAAAGAGGACAGGTGCACCCCACGGGGACTTGCTGGGTTTAATGAAACCCAGTCTCAGGAGCTCCTCAAGTTGACCCTTGAGTTCGATGGCCTCGGGGATCGAGAGTCTGTAGGGTGCCTGGTGGTGAACACGATAGTCAGGCACCAACTGGATGGAGTGCTCGATGTCGCGCATCGGTGGGATGCCGGCGTACGAGAACGACGATGGGAAAACGTCGTGGTACTCTCGAATGAGGTCACGAACTGCGGGCTCTAGGTCGGCCGTATAGCGTGCGAGTTCCTTAGCGTCAGCGTCGGCGCGCGACGACGGGGTGGACTTGACGGACGACGGAGGGAGGGAAGTAGAGATGAGAGCCATGGAGATAGAAGCAGGATCTGGCTCCAGAGAGATGAGCTCAGCGTCGGGACAGGGTGGATCATAGTGCAGGAGATCCGTAACGTTCACCGTAAAGAAGGTAACGTCGTCCTGTCGGATGAAGTGGGCGAACTGCCGAGGCGAGGTGACGGTGATAGTAGGAGATGGTGTGGGCACGAAAGGCTCCGAGGGAGGAGAATCGGGGTGTGGTGTCGCGGTGGTACCTATGAAAGGTACGCGATACGTCTGTCCACACTTCGTTTTGAGAACGAGAGTGTTGGTCGCCCAATCAGCCTCGGTGTTGTGGAACCGACGAGACCACGGAGTACCGAGAATGAAGTCGTACCCCGTCTCCATCACATCGAAATGTGCAGAGGAGCGGTGGCGACGAGACGTCGGGGGACGATCAGTCGGCTCGAGAGTGAGGAAGAAAGGGAGGTCGGTGACTGTCTGATCGAAGAAGCGCCAAGTCTTGTCATCCCCTAGGGTGACAGAGATGGGAGTCGGAGACCCTGTCAAGGGTAAGGGGGCTTCTTTCACCACACGTGGGTGAATGAAGTCGCCCTGAGAACCGGAATCCCAGAACGCTGAGTACACCCTCGTGGAGGTCCCCAGTCGTACGGGGATGATGGAGAGGGTGCGATCAGGGTCAGAGAGGATGGTGAGAAGGCGACGCAGTGCAGCGACATGGAGGGTGAGTCGCTCCTGACGAGTCTGGAGCATGCTCAAGTCCAGAAGAGAGGACACAACGTCCTCGCGAGTAGCAAGCTGCTTGCTGCAACAGGCTGAGTGAATGGCTCGACGCGTCGGTAGTCGCGGAAGGGTAGGAGGGGAGACGGTGGTCTGGGGAGGCGCAGACGGTACTGCGATAGAGGGCTAAGTACACTCTGTCGGGCCTTGCGATACCTCAGCTCCAGTAGCGAGAGGGGCGAACCGCGATGGAGATGTCGGGAAGCCAACTACTAAGGAGGGCGCAGGTGTACACTGCACCGTGGCTAGGAGGCGCCGTGAGGATGCGAGGCGCCAGGGGGGGACTGAGCACGACGCTGGCGGGAAAGGTCAGCGTAGTGGCGGTCGAGGGCGGCGGTGTAAGGGCACTACGAGGAGGTATGACCGTCCCGGCGGCATCGCAAACACCCACACCATCCCCAAATGGCCGCGCGCTCCTCAGCGGAAAGGACATCGGAAGGAGGGACAAAGCACTGAGGGAGGTCCTGCTGAGGGACCTCGGGGGGCGACGCGCCAGTGTGACCAGGGCGACTGCGTGCCCGAGAGAGGTGGAGAAGGCAAGCTGGAGCCGGTCGGCTATAGGGAGGGTAGAGTCCTCCAGGTGGTAGTGGACGGCCTCGTAGAGGTCGAGGTCGTCGTTATGGTCACCCTCAGGCGACAGCGGGGCAAGAGTGTTATGCGCACCATACTCGAGCGCGCTGAAGCGGCGCGAGAAGTGGCGTCCCTGCTGTGCGGAACGGCGGGGGCGGCCGCGGAAAGGGGAACGGCGTTGGGAAGTGCCGTAAGAGGAGGAGGTGCCGTAGCCAGTACGCTGAGGCTGGGAGGAGGAGRSGGGGTGAAGACGGGCCCGCATCCGCTAATGGGTCATGGCGGCCTTGTAAGCCTGCGGGGCCAATGTGAACTCGTACCGCCATAACTCAGAGCGGTACTCAAGGGGAAGGCTGGCCAAGAAACGATCGATAAGGGGAGCCTCGGGGAGGAACGCCACATCACAAATGAGGCGGGCATCCTGAAAGACCTGGATATGGCGGGTCAGGCCGGCATCGCTACCAGAGCCGGACCAGAGTGTGCTGACGACACGCTCGAAGGCGTCAGTGACGTCATGTCGGGCTCCAAAACGATCCCCGAGGAACGCTTGAAAATCCATGAAGGTCGGGGTCCGACCCTCACGAAGGGAGTGCGCGTAGAAATCCTCCCAGGCGTCGAAAGGCCATGCAGGCGCGTGGAGAGGTGAGTCACCCATGTGTCGGGTGGGGCGCCCATGAGCTGGAGCGTGCGGGTAGCAGACTGCAGCCACCGAGACAGGCGTATCCCTGTATTGTCGTACAAGGCAATGTTCGTCAAGCGGACGAGTGGCGTGCCACCGTTTTGGCGGCAATGGGATCGAGGAGCAGAGGTCTGTGCTACGTTTGAGTAAGTCGGTGCAGGTCCCGGAGAAGGGGGCGTAGCTGACTGTACGCCCAGGCCGCATGGGGGAGCAGTGGGGGCAACAACGACAGACCGCGAGGGAACTGCGGTAGAAGAGGTCGCGGCAACCGAGGGAATAAGAAGGTATGATGGGGGTGGATAGGGTGCAGGGCGAGGGAAGCGAGCCTGCATGGAAGAAAGAGTAGAGGAAGAAGGGGGTGCGCCCGAAGGCGCGGCCACCTGTGAGGGTAGGGGTGGTTGAAGGCGTAAGAGGGCGAGGTCGGCCTGGGTCTGGGCAAGCTTATCCTTAAGACGTCGAACGTAGATTGAGCGAGGGGTGGCAGGAGTAGACGCACGAGCGGCGTGAGGCATCCCACAAGGAGGAGGGCTAAGTGGCGCTGCGGTCGTGCGAATGAGAGGGAGAAGCGAGGCATTAGGAAAAGCTGAGACCACGACAACGGGTTGTGGTCCCGTGGCCGTAGTGATCGGAATCTGGGCGGGTGCGCCTGTAGAGTGAGGGAAGGCCTGGCCCGTGGCGGTCGTCGCGCTAGGAGCGTGGACGGTCACCAGGATGGTCGGGTCGGGGGCATCGGAGGAGGAAGCTCCGCCGTGGCCACCATGTCGAAGGACGGGGGACCCGGACTGGGAGCCAGGGGAAGAGAGAGAGTGGGGAGAGGAAGGACGTCCAGCGTCCTGGAGTTGCCGCAGGCCAACGACAAGAGTCGCCACCTGCGCATGTAGGGGCGCAAGGAGGGAGGTGAGGAGGGTGTGCAGATCCCTTAGGGCTGAGGGCCCTGGTCCGCCGGCACGGGTATGGAGCTCGGTGCGGAGGTCGTCGCCGCGTCCGTGACTTGTGATACGTCGTCGGTCATGGGGAGGTGACGGGTCGGACTAGAGGGGGCTAGAAGAGGTCCACGTGAGCGGAGGGCGTGGGGGGGGGTCCGATGTAGGAAGCGAAGGGCGGCGCTAGTGAGTCGAGCGCGGGCGCCCGCAAAGGGGGAAGGGTGGTTCGGGTCCAGGGTGCCCGAATGGAAAGGGGGAGTAGGGGGGTTTAGGAAAACTCTGAACCCTAAAAAAAACCTAAGAAAACCCTAACCGAGGTTTGGTTAGGATAGGATACCGATGACCTAATCAAGAAAATCAAATAGCAAGCATGGGCGNCTAGTGAGTCGAGCGCGGGCGCCCGCAAAGGGGGAAGGGTGGTTCGGGTCCAGGGTGCCCGAATGGAAAGGGGGAGTAGGGGGGTTTAGGAAAACCCTAAACCCTAACCAGGGTTTGAGTGGTTAGGGTAGGGTACTGGTGACCTAATCAAGAAAGTAAAATAGCAAGCTTGGGGGGGAAGGCGGGAGGAAAAATAAATAAACAGTGAAATTTTGAGAGAAAAGTGAAAATAAATAGATAAATAAATAAATAATAAAAATAATTAAAGAAATAAGTAAACAAAATGTGAAAAGAGAAGTAATATTTATTTTTTTGGAAATTTCGACAGCATTTCCCTAACCCCCATGGGGTCAAGAATGTGCCAAGGGAAAGGAGAGACCAACATAAGCACACTAAGTTTCAAAATGCCGAAAATTAAAAAATTTAGAAAATAAATAAAGAAATAAGAAAGAGAAATAAATAAATAAATAAATAAATAAGTAGATGAGGAGGTAGAGAGAAATTAAATGTCTGATTTTTCAAAATTTTCGGCAACATTTCGTTACCCCGATGGGGTCGAAGTGTGCCGTCAAGAAGAAAGGCTAAGTAAAATGAGAAGACTTTGCCAGCACTTCGCTACCCCTAAGGGGTTAAAATGTGTTGAAAAAGACTAAGTGAAAGAGAAAACAGAAAATTTCGGCAACACTTCGCTACCCCCACGGGGTCGGAATGTGTGCCGAAAGCAAGGATGACTAACTCCTAATCAGCTGTAAGGGTGCCGCAAAGAAATTTGGATTTTCAAAATAAATAAAATAAAAAGAAAATAAAATAAATCAGAAAATGAGAAAAGAAGGTGGGGAATGAGATAATTTGAATTTTTGGAAAAAGGTAGGAAATATAAATCAAAAGAAAGATAAAAAGAAGAAAAAACAGAAAATTTCGAAGTTGGGGGAAAGGGGAATGAAAAGGTGAAGGAGAAAAGGGAGAAATAGGGGAGAGAGAAAAAAAGAGTGAAGGGGGAGATGGGGGGAAGTGATGGGTTGTAGTTGGGGGAGAGGAGGGTGAGAGAATGGGAGAGAAAGGGATGGGAAGGGTGGGGAGGGATCAAGAAGCAAAAGGAAAAGAGGAGAAAAAAAAGAAAATAAATGAATAAAGTAGAGTAAAATAGTGGGTGGTGGGAGAAAAGGTGGGGTGTGGGGAGGGGTATGAGTGGTGAGGGTGATTAGAAGGAAGTGAGTGAGGCAGAAGAGCAAGAAGTAGAGGGGGTGAGTAAGAGGAGAGAGAAAAGTTAGAGAAAGTGGGTTAGTAGAGAGAGGAAAGAGAGGGGGATGATACCTGGGCCTTGGTGTTTCCAAGGGCACAAGGTATACCAACACCAGGAGGGTCTTGGCCTTCACTGCAGCAAGCCAACTGGAGGAGGGAGGGGGCTGAGATCTTGATCAGCCCCTAGTAGCAGCATTGCAGATCCAGGGTGTGCTGTGTGAGCAGGCCCTCACCACTGTAGAGCAGCCCTTGATCAGGGGGTCTTCACGGTCCACAGCAGACTGCCACGTGGCACTGCAGATGGCCACAGCCACAGGCAGCAATAGCCACGGTGCCTCCCATCATCAGGGTGGGGGCAAATAGTTTCCTGCCCGTTGCTGTCGACGGTAAATAGGTGTCACGACACGTCTTCAACAGCAGCATGCCGCCTTACCAGAGCATACGTGCACTGTGGCAAATGTGTTATGGGGATGGCTACGCACGCGCATAGCCATCACCTGCCCAGGTTCAAACCCTGGCAGCAGCGTGCATCCTAGATCTTAAGAAATAAATCCGGGGGCGGGGCGGGGGGGGGCAGCGTGGGAGCGTGGGCGCGTGCGTGTGCATGTGTGTGTGTGGCGGCCTTGGCCTTGGTGCGCACGCGTCGTGACGGCAGTTCCTTTTTCGCCACTTGTGACTTCCTAGCTGCTGCACTTTTCGCCAGTTTTTCGCTGCAAACGGTTTTCGAGTTTTTACCGTTTTCCCTGCTGTGCGGTGTGGTGGGTGGGAGCGGGGAACGTTCCCGCTCCGATACCAGTGTGGCGGACCCACCAGGTGTGTTGCTCCGCCTGGAATAGAGATGGAGATGGAGGAAGAAGGGGGAGCGAGATTGCACAACGCAGCTCCCACGCTAGACTCCAACGTACGTACTCCAAAATGTGCGAATGTAGAATGATCTCACAAACAGACGACAGTTGGGGTATACCCCAGTGGACTGACTGGACTGGACTGGACTGGCTGGTACCGACAGAGGTACCGGCC